AGGTTTATCTAATTTTCATATTTTCTTCAATACTGAGGTCAAAGGAGTCATGTGGTGTGAAACACCGCAATCAAGTATCCAATTGAAACAATATTCAAATTTATTAATCATGTTTTCATGTGCGTTTACATGATTTTTGGAACGAACTCTATGCAGGGCATGTCTTGATGTTGATGCTTTTAGATATTCGTTTATCTCAGCGGCCTGAGCAAAATTTGTTACTTGTTGCCCTCCTGATTTGTTTGGTTCACGCCTTTGAGTTCTTTGCGATTCCCAACTTGTTGGATATCCAACAATCTCAAAGCATTTTGCCTTGACATGTCAAGTTTTCCCACAATGATTATACTTTAACCTTGAGTGATATTCCTTTCCTCCCTTCCTATATGCACTTGAGTAAAACACATATGCACTTTCCACCTTGGAATCTCTTTCCTTATTTGCTGCAAAACGAGACTCTTCTCTTTACATTTGATTAAAGACACGCCTAAGAGAGGGTAATGGATCGTTGTCAAGTATGGTTGTCTTTATATAAGAGTATTGTTCACCATCTAAGCCTCTAAGAAAAAGATAGACTCACTATTCTTCTTTCCTTTGTGTCAATATTTTAGTAGCTCCACAACTGCATTCAGGTGGGGTTTGCAATTCACTCAATTCATCAATAAGACTTTTGAACTGAGTGTTGTAATCTGGTACACTTATTTCTGGTTGTTTATGCATTAAACACAAGTTTCTCCATAAATGATGGATTCATAGTGCATTGGCCTGAGCAAAGCGTTCTTCAAGATCCACCTACACATCTAGAGTCGTTGAAACATGTGAGATGCTTTTATGTAAATCTGGTTATGTCGCATTGATCAACCAAATTTTAACCATTGAATCCTCCTTATCCCAATCACAATACACTTCAGTTTGACCTGGTGGTTTCTTGATGCTTCCAATCATTGAAACACAATTTCGTTTTCGCATGCAAAACCGTCTTGATCGATCTTGCCCATGTATAGTAATTTTCCCCATTCAGTAATGCTGTCACAAGTGGAGTTCCATGATTATCAGAGTTGTTTAGATGATAGACTTGTGTATTCTTTATTGTGTTCTTTGTTTCAAGTTCAGAGGTATTTTTCTTCTCTAATATCTCTTCCAAAATATAACCATGACCGGTAGGCATGGCAAAAAAACCCGGACCCGCCCCAAAATTAGCGGGGAAAACCCGGTTTGAGTGGGTAAGAGTGCGGGTGCGGGGAAAACCCGACTTTTAATTACGAGTGCGGGTACAAGTGTGGGGAGACACTAAGACCGCCCGCACCCGGCCCCGCCCCGTCCCCGAATAATACATTTTAGTTTAATTCTCTTATTTTACTTATTTTAATATTCATTTATTAATTATATTTTTAATTAAATTATTAATACCTTTATTGCAATTAAAATAATTAAATTAACCAAATTAATATTCATTTACTAATTAAAATTTTAATTAAATAATTAATTAATTAATTAAAATAATCAATTTTTTAATTAAGTTATTATTTTTTATTGCAATTAAAAAGAAATTAATTTTTTTCGGGTGGGGGCGGGGCGGGGGCGGGTGCACCCGTTCTCTACTGGGGGCGGGTCTGGGCGCTAAACTTTTACCCCCGATTGGGTTTGGGGGCGGGGGCGGGTGTGTTACATGGAGGCGGGTGCGGGTGCGGGTATAGTAAAACCCGCCCCCGACCCGCCCCGTTGCCATCCCTAACGACCGAATGCCATAATAGAAAGTTAAGTTGAAAAATATGTTGTATTCTTATTGTTTTTGATGACACATGACATACTTTATATATAGGCTGATAATTGATCTTTTAGAGCTTGGAAATAGGATAAACCCTAACAAACTAATAACAAATTATTAAATTTATGTCTAATACTATTAACTGCCACCATTTCGAGTATCATGAATAAACATGTCATTATTGCGATCCCACTTTCCCACATAACTATCATCACGACTTCACACATTTTATATGTGAAAATTTTAATTTTTTGTGTTTGAATGTCCAAGTCATATAGTAAAAAGAATAGAAAAGAGACAAAGAGAAACATGAAAAAAAAAGAATAGAAAACAAAATAAGAGAATAAGAATGGAAAATAGAGGAAGAGTAAGAGAAAATGAACTGAAAAGAGATGGAGACATGAAAAGGAAAATAGGAGAATGGAAAAAAACTGAGTGAAAAATATGAGAAATTGAAATAAACCTTTAAAAAAATTATGATGAAGCATTCTTTAAGAAGAAAAGAGAATACTAAAGTGAAGTGGTTCCAGATTTCGAATGGAAAATGATGATGCTTTATTTGTGAATTTTTATTTTAGTGCTATATGTGAAGCTAATTAAAAAGAGACTTAATTGGTCCATTTGTTAAATACATATATGTGTTTGATGGTGTAGCATAATTAATTGAATAACAGATGACAAATTAGTTACTAAGATATTTAGATATTGTTTTCAGATGATATTTATATAGTTGATATGATATCTTAGTGTTACATGTGAATTAAAATTAGTAACAATCTAGTTCAAGTACTATGTACTGGAAAAGAAGAGTGACACCTTTTCTTCTAACCACAATTTGTGTTTTGCAGATTGTGTTCAATATGATCTTGGAAATGGGAAGTCTATCCCTTTTTAGTCGGCAAGATGACTTAATGGTAGCTCTTTGGAAGTTTAGTTTGCTGATTTGTTTTGCCACAGTAGTAGAAAAGAAGATTCTGTTCATTCTATGGGCTTCTGGGAGTTTGACACTTGGACTTGGAATATTCAAGGCTTTAATTCTCAGGTTCAGTCCGATAAACAAGATAGGATTCATGAACTGATGTCATTATTAAGCAGCAACAGTTATGCATTGGAGAAGACTGACAGGGTAGTGTGGAAAGGAGGATCTATTATGGGTTTTGAAGTTAAGGAGGCCTATCCGATTCTTATTGAAGCTGCTGATACATCTTTTGCCAGCGAAAACCTTAGGAAAGCTTTTGATGTGTTATGGAAGTTTAAGATTCCTCATAAAGTTAGTTGTTTTGGATGGAAAATTTTATGGAATAGGATTGCAACCAAGAATGAGTTATTGAAGAGAGGTTGTTATGGTTTGAGCTCCATATGTGTTTTATGCACGATTACGGTTGAAGACATTTCACACTCTTTTTTCGAATGTGAACCAATTAAAGCAGTGTGAAAAATGATTGGTGATTGGATTGGTATTGGATGTTTCTTTGCAGAAAATATCTGCGAGTTTTTCATTGATTGATGTGGGGTTGGTAATCAAGTGGAAGGAAATTTAAAAGCAGGATATATTTGGTTAATAATTATTTAATGCATTTGGAGTGTTATGAACAAAATTATTTTTTCTGAAGGGGTTTTTAATCTTGATGATTTATGCCGGACTATTAAGTTAACTGTTTGAAAATAGTCTAGTTTTGGGAAAACTTCTTATCCCAACTTTGAAATCTATTTCTTTTATATGTATCCTTTAGGAGAGTAAGGTTGTGTTAGAGATAATTGGTAATATTTTAGTTTTTGTTTTCATGTAGGGTGTGTTTGGTTCGGGGTAAATGGAGGGGAGGGAAAAATTTTAATTAAATATGTTTGGTTCAAATTTTAGGAGGGGAGGGGAAAATTTTAATTAAATATGTTTGGTTCAAATTTTAGGAGGGGAGAGAAAGGGAGCAAAATCCTTTCAAAATACACTTTTTGGTTCCCTCCGAATTGAGGGGATTTGGAGGGGAGGGGAGAAAATATGAGTTTTAATATTTAAAAATTATTATATTTACTAAAATATCTTCAGTTTAATTTTATTATTTCAAAACTATTTGTTATCTTTTGTGTTACTGTTTTTTCTCGATTGTTTTCATCAACTTATTATAATTGTTCTCCACCTTCAAATTATTTTATAATTTTTATAATTAATATAAATCATAATCATTGTCTTTTTTTTATAAAAAAAATTATGTTTCGTTATATTCATTTTTTTCTTTTAATTTTGTTATGTACTCTATCATATTTTCTTTTATATCAAATTGTAAACCATATCATTTTATTTATTTTTGTTTATTCATTTTATTAAATATTTTGAACCATTAATATTTAGTAATAAGTTATTTTATATATTTGTTTTGTTATATAATTCATCACAATTTAAACGATGTTATTGGCATATAGTTTAATTTATGTTGGAAAGTTATAAGTCGAATCGATTGTACTCAATTTTTTAACTTTATGTGACAAATAAATATTTTTTAATCACTCAATATTAGAAATTTTATTACCAACAAAAATACGCACAAATTTTTCACATTTTAATATCATATGACTTATATAAGATCATAAGGATAAAAATGTAAATTATTAATAAAACCCCTCCCCTCCCCTTCTGAACCAAACACATTTTTAATTAAAATCCCTCCCCTCCCCTTCTGAACCAAACACATTTTTAATTAAAATCCCTCCCCTCCTCTCTTTTGAACCAAACACTTATTTGATTAAAAAATTCCTTCACCTCCCCTCCCCTCCCCTTTATTAAAATCCCTCCCCTCCCCTCCCCCTCATTTGAACCAAACAGATCCGTAAAGACTGTCTTATTATTATTATTATTTTTTTTTTTCAATTATTGGTGTTTGTATGTCTTGAAGAGTCTTTGTGTTCCTTTTATTAATTTCAATGGCTTTTAAAAAAAACTGTGTACTATCCTAAGATGTAAAATAAATAAATATAATAATGTATAATTGGTCTGAAAATATCTAACTAGGCAATAGATTATTAATGAAATAAGTACAAAAAAAAGAAAAGAGAAAAGAGAGCGCTAATACCGTAATGTGAGTGGAGGGATCCGATCCCAAAAATCAAAGCTTTCCCGCGAGTGCGAGTGTCTCTTTCTCTACTCTTGTCCACTCCATTGGAAACCAAGAGTTGCGTAATGCGTATCATGGATTTGGAAGAGTAGAGTGAGCGAGTGTGTATCCGCAATCTGCCAAGTGAAATGGGAATCCATGGTCTATTACCGCTACTCAAATCCATAATGCTTCCAATTCACATCAAAGACCTTCACGGCTGCTCTGTCGCCATCGATACCTATTCTTGGCTTCACAAAGGCGCCCTTTCTTGCAGCACTGACCTCTGCAAAGGAATACCCACTTCTAGGTCACTCACCTATTCCCTGTTTTTTTTTACTACTCTCTTTATCATTATTATGTTGGGTTTTTCTTTTATTTTATATTTTCCACAAAATCAGTGAGTCAAATTTTGTTTTTTAGTTTTTGGGTTCAGTCAATTTCGCATATGCTTATTTTCAATAGGTTTCAATTGAATTTACTACAGGCACATTGAGTATTGCATGCATAGAGTGAATTTGCTGCGTCATTATGGTGTTAAACCTATTCTCGTATTTGATGGAGGTTTTCTGCCAATGAAGGTTGAACAAGAGAACAAGCGTGCTAGGTACATACTCTTGTGTCATCTCTGATTTATTAGCTGGATATGATCGGATAATCCTTGTTTTTGTTGCGTTTTTGCTTAAGGAACTATTTTTTATGCTGTAAGTTTAGGGCTAGAAAGGATAATTTTGAACGCGCAGTTGAACATGATTCGAATGGAAATTCTACAGCTGCCTATGAGTGCTACCAGAAAGCTGTTGATATTTCGCCTGCGATTGCACGAGAACTAATTCAGGTACAAAGGAGTTCAGTTTATCAGAGCTAGTCTAGATGTTGCGTAGGAGATAGTAGATCGCTACATACACACTCACATGTATTCTCCTAAATGTTGAAATCTTGTTTTTTTTTTTTTTTTAATTTTATTTTATCTGTGAAAGGTATTGAAGCAGGAGAATGTTCAGTTTATTGTTGCTCCTTATGAGGCAGATGCTCAAATGACATTCTTGGCAATTAGCAAACAGGTTGATGCGGTTATAACTGAAGATTCGGATCTTATACCGTTTGGTTGTCCAAGAGTGAGTTTTATCAGGCTTAGATTAACACACTAATGTCTTGTATTACCTGTATCTTTTTATAAGCTCGTATAATCTGTGTTTATACGGTATAATTCTCCTTAATTTGATAGAATCTCTGACATTTTTGACTGGTTTGTTTCTTCCATTAAAATTTAGATTATCTTTAAAATGGACAAGTTTGGTCAAGCTGTCCAGTTTCAGTATTCAATGCTTCAAAAGAATAAGGAGCTTAGTTTTGAAGGGTTCAACAGACAAATGCTTCTTGAAATGTGTATTTTGAGTGGCTGCGACTATCTTCCGTCCTTGCCAGGTATGGGTCTCAAAAAGGCCCATGCAAGCATGAAAAAGTTTAAAAGTTACGACAGGGTAAGAATGAATGACTGATACAGTTGACAAGCATGATTACTTAAGACCAAAGAACCTATACAAATCCGTACACACACACAAACATCTTTTATGTACTTCCGATATGAAATTTGTTGTAATTCTGATGCCAATTGTAATATATCAGGTTCTCAAGCACTTGAGATACAGTGGTATTTCTGTACCTCCCAATTACGATGACTCATTCAGGAAGGCTATACTTACTTTCCAACATCAACGGGTTTATGATCCAGTTAGTGAAAATATTGTCCATTTGTTCGATATACATGAGGATATTGGTGACGAGTTAGACTTTTTAGGCCCATATCCTTTCAAGGTTTTATTACCGTTTTATATTTGTATATTGAATATTGAACTATTGATAAAAGTTTGCTACATTTTGTATAATCATCTGAGATCTTATTTTAAATAATTCCTTAACCTGATACACACCCTTGCCAAAAGATATAGCACAAGGAATAGCAGAAGGGGATCTTGATCCAATTACCAAAATGCCATTTGAGGTACACCATCAAATTTTTATTTATCTTCACGTACACATGTGTCTTGTGCGTGTTACTGTTAGAATAAATATATGGATTTCTAGTTACCATAAATCTCTTCATATTTTGGTCAAAGTAGTTTAATTTATTTGTTCAGTTTTGGAAGATGATGGTAAATTCTAATGGTGTTGGGTGTTGAGAGAAAATGAATTTTGACGATGATAGAAATAAAATTGAAGCAGTTGAAAAAATTGATCTATTCTGTTGCCTTTATGTCTACATGGGTGTAAACAAGTGTGTGATTTCTGCATATAACTTGAGTGATTTTTTCATTCTTATAATGATCTATACAAGGTTTTCTTGGTAATTAGTATGGGCAGTATACATTCTTATAATGAGACAATAGTTGTAATACTTTGATAAGATGCATGTTTATATGCTCAAGAGTCATGTTTAGAACAAAAGGAAAATGCTAATACACAGTTAACGTATTTTAATAAACAAGTTTTAAGGTGAAAAGTACCTGATATATATTGATATTAGAAATTGGAAAAAAATAGAGCTATGCTTTCCACAATCAGAATACATTTATTTACTCTGTAAAACTAGGTATGAATGATCAAAATACAGAAACTGGAGAAGAAAACAGGAGATAACTCCTCAGTAAAGCTGCTCAGCTTGTCCAAACCTTTCCCCCCAAATTATTCCTTATGCCTCCCCTCACTCCCTTTATAACCACCTCACCTCATTTCATGCTCTGTCCCTTATAATTCTAACCATTCCCTCTGCAATACTATACTTTATAACAAGCTTATACTAAGTTAAGATTTAGGCATGCATGTATGCTCTTCAATTTGTTATAGCCTACTTGTTTAAAGGTATTGTATGTTGATGTCTATTTCTTTTGAAACTTCAGGGAGATAAATTTGTTGCCAGATTAGAAATTGCAGGAACTTCTCAATTCAAAACACTTAATTCTGAAAGGGTGAAGAAAAAGATTGATCTTCCTGTGCAGAAGAATCTCTTGACCAAGTATTTTTGTATCCTCTGAAGCATTCTACTTTTATTGAATTTAATCAATTTTGCATGTTTAAAAGGGAGGAGTGCAGGGTTGCATTTCATAGTCCATAGGAATACTTCATGGCACTGTTGATGCGTTGGGTGCCTTTTTTTTTTCTTCTAAAAAAATTAGAATATTAGTGGTAATTTGATCCATGTAGCTGACCCTACTTAGTGGGATAAGGCTTGGTTGATGTTGTATATTGTATAGTATCTAAGTAGTCTAGAAGAGGTAAACCAATTATTAAAGCCAAAACAATTTATGACTGCGCTGAATCTTGAAAGTTTCCTCATGTGACATACTCTGCCGCGTTTAGGAAGCTTATTTTCTTCTATTCCTTCTTAAAGTTATTTTTCCTTAGCCATGGAAGGTTTTGCATCTCTTGAAGCAAAACGGGAATTCAAAGCACCACGGACGTCACCTGCTACTGCTAACCAAAGTACACTGATTTCCTCTTCTGTCAATTCCCTGGAACATCAGACTTTGGAAGCTGCTGCTAGTGAAACAATGAACTCTGGTGCATCCTCAGTTGACTCCGATAATTTAGGCAGCGGCTCTTCTCCGGATTGCTATGTAAGTTGCCCGGACTAGACAACAATAATAGTGAAAACACTGTTCAATGTTGCTTGTCAAACTCTTAGCTGCTTTCTAACATATTCTTTCCTTTGATCAGATTGAGAACAGTTTTTCCTTCAAAACTTCAGACCTTATAGAATCACCATATCATGGTAAGAATACAGGCCAGTTAGTTTCTTTGGGCTGAAAACTATACTCCATTAATCCTTTGCACTTGTTTGCTGATGCTCATTTTATTGTCTATATGAATTTAGTATCTATGGCAGGAGAGAAGAAGGGAAGTCCTGATCATACAATATTGAGACAGCCCAGGCAGCCAATTCATAAACCTTGTCTGGGGTTGCATAAGGAGCATGAGCTCACAAATGTCCAAGACAAAGTTGAAGGAAAATCCAAGCAGGTAAAAAGAAAGGTAATTGTAAGGAGTCCTTACTTTCAGCAGAAGCAAGTAGAAAATAATGTTTGTGATGAGAAACAAGAGCAGCTGCCTTCTGGCTTCTTCGTCGATGAGAGGAAAAATGGCATATCTGGAGGTGATTTATGTAACAGCCATTTGAAGAACAAAGACTTGAAAAGGAAGGCCTCCCCTAATGACAATACTCAAAATGTAAAATATTTTTTCCAGATTTAACTTTTTGTTTTCTTTAACACTTTCTCCTATTATATTTGTAAAGTAATGGTTTGAATTTCTCCAGGAAAACTTGCAGGCCAGGAAAATGCATCCTACTTCATCTACTTATGATAATGGTATAATTCAGAAAGTTATCTGTTAGCTCATATGTTCTTTCACTTTCACAACTAAAATAGCTAGTATCAATTATCTTGCTATTCCAGCTATTATGTTCTTTGCTTTAGTTTTAATTTCATTTATTGTTCTATATATTTTTATTTGTTGTAAATATTAGACTGTAAATAGTAATTAGTAGTATTAGTAATGAGGCCTATTAGTCAAAATCCATTAGGTTTTCTATTCTCTCTTATTTAAAGCACGTAGTTGCAACATTGTAAGCAGAACTTTTAATTCCATCAGTGAAATATTTTACAACATGGTTTCAGAGCTCCTGTTTTTTGGGGGTCTCGCTTCCGCCTAAACCCTAGCCGCCGTTGTAACGGAATTTTTTTTTTCTTTCTTTCACTGCCGGTCATCCTTGCAGTTTTTTTTTTTTGGGTGTTTGGATCATTGCTGTTCTGTGTTGCAGCACATTCTATTTCTTGGCTTTGCTTCACATCTCTCACTGTTCACTCATCTTTGCAACCCTACACTGCCTGTTTTTTTGTGATATTTGTGTTTTTTCTTTGTGATTCAATACATATATGCTGTTTGTTCCTCTCGATTGTCCCTTCAATGGCCGAGATTATTAACGAACAACCACCTCCGCCTCCACCTCCCACAAATCCACCAGTCCCATTTAATGCTAAGGATTTTGTCGTTCAAAAAGGTTATTGGCTTACCGGAAAAAAATTATTTTCAATGGTCTCAGTTCATCAGACACACTCTAAAATGTTGTGACATGCTAGATCATATTGAAGGCAATCCTCCTCTGGTTACTGCTCCTAATTTCCCTTCCTGGGATAAAGATGATTCTGCTATTATTACTTGGCTTTGGAACTCCATATCTCCAGAAATTAGTAGAAATTGCATGTATCTCTCAAGTGCAAAGGCAGTTTGGGATTATCTTCGTCGAAGTTATTCCATGAAACAAGATATGTCTGCTTGTTATGATTTAAAGAGGAAAATCTTCAACACTAAGTAGGAAAGTCTTTCGGTCAACGATTACTTTGGAGTTCTCAATGGTTTTTGGATTGAGTTGGATCAATATCAGAATTTGAAGATGGAGTGCAGCAAGGATACTGCCACCTTGAATACTGTTGTTGAGCGGGATAGGATCTTTGATTTCTTAGCCGGCCTTAATGCTGAATTTGACCCTATTCGGGTGCAGATTTTGGGTAAGGAAAAATTTCCTGATCTTAATGAAGTTTTTTACACAGTTCGTAGTGAGGAGACCCGTCGTCAAGCTATGCTTCATGAACAGCCCCCGGATGTGTCAGCACTAGTAGCTAGCAAAACAACAAGACAAGGACCACCATCATCATCATCATCATCTAAGAATGGTCGTGACAAATTCTATTGTGAGCATTGCAACCGATCAGGGCATACAAAGGATAGGTGTTTCAAACTACATGGGAGGGAACAGGTTCTTAGCCGAGGAGGTAGTTCTCGCAACATGCACCAGCATCAGGCACATGTTGCTACACATGCCCATGATACTGAAAGATTTGAAAAAGGGGGAACTGATCTTTCCTCCTTCAGTCAGAATGACGTGGAACGGTTGAAGTCTATGCTTGACTCCATGAGTAAGCCTTCTGGTTCTGGGTCTCTAGCAGTTACTGGTAAGAGTTTGTGTTCCCGATCTTTTACTGTTTGTGGTAATATCCCTAAGAATGCGTGGATTCTTGACTCTGGTGCTACTAATCATATGACATTTGATTCCACATTATTATGCTCTTATACCACACCTTCGAGTATTCCTTGTATCATTGTTGCTGATGGCTCTCATGCTTGTGTTGTTGGCACTGGAAATATTGACTTGCAACCTCCATTTCAGTTGCAATCTGTGCTTCATGTTCCCACACTTTCCCACAATTTGATTTCCATCCATAAGCTTACCCGTGATCTAAATTGTAAAATAATGTTTTTTACGTCCCATTGTGTTTTTCAGGACCTTACCACGGGGAAGATGATTGAAATTGCTAAGGAAAAGGAAGAGTTATACTACTTCTCTGATGACCATCCAAAGGTGTTGTCCTCCTGTCTCTAGTCTCAGTCTTCCTCTTCAGCCTCACAAATTTGGCTTCAGCACAAGCGTCTCGGTCACCCTCCATTTTATATAATTAAGTCTATGTTTCCGTCATTGCTCTTAAACCATTCTGTTGAGTCTTTTAAGTGTGATGTTTGTCAGTTGGCAAAACACAATCGTGTAACTTTTCCTTCCAGTTTTAATAAAAGTGCTGAACCTTTTGATGTGATTCATTCTGATGTTTGGGGACCTGCCCCTACCTCTAATATTTTTGGTGCAAAATGGTTTGTTTCATTTATTGATGATTGTACTCGGGTAACTTGGATTTTCTTGATGAATACTAAATCCGAAGTACCACAAATATTTATCCAATTTTATAGTATGGTACAAACACAATTTGGGAAATGTATAAAAAGAATTCGTTCTGACAATGGTAAAGAATATGTCAATCATACCTTCTCCAACTTCACTAGTAAACATGACATTCTTCATGAATTCACATGTGTTGACACCCCACAACAAAACGGTGTCGCAGAAAGAAAAAATCGTCATTTACTTGAAGTTGCTCGATCTCTCCTTTTTCAAATGTCTGTTCCCACCTCTTATTGGGGGGAGGCAGTTCTTACTGCTGCCTATCTGATTAATCGGGTCCCATCTCGAGTGTTAGGTAATATTAGTCCTGCTCAATTTATGCTCTCACGTTTTCCCTTTGTTCCTATCTTACATAATCTCGAGTCTCGCGTGTTTGGTTGTGTTGCTTTTGTTCATGTTCACAAACAATATCGCAACAAGTTGGATCCCCGTGCTGTCACACCCAATAAAAGAGGGTACAAATGTTATCATCCTCCGAGTCGGAAATTCTTTGTCTCCAAAGATGTCACCTTTCATGAAAATGTGTCATACTTCACTCATTCTCAGTCTCAGGGGGAGAACATGAGTGACTTAGAGTCTGAGTCCGAGTTTCTGATCCTTGGTCCTAGCCTCCCGAGAACACCTGTCAGTGTTCCCTCTCTTGAACCCGAGTTGTCACCTAGTTTGAGTTTGAGTCCTAGTTCAACACCTGAATCTGAATCAGTAATTGTTCCTGGTTCTTCAATGCCTTATGTTCCACAGGAATCAGCACCTTCAGCACCAACTCTAGTGTATCAGAGAAGAAGTAAATCTGACCTTCTCCAGAAACAAATTCAATCGTCTGAACCGGAGGTAAGTACTGAAAATGATTCCTCAAATGATGATTGTTCTATTTCTGATACTTGTGACACTAATCCAATTGATTTACCCATTGCTTTGAGGAAGGATAAAAGATCTTGTCCCTCCGTATATCGACACCCTATCTCTCAATATGTCTCCACTAAACATCTTTCCACACAATATCAAAGTTTTATTGCAGCTGTTGATTCTGCGAAAATCCCATTATCAGTTGAAGAAGCATTGCAAAATAGAAATTGGGTCCAAGCTATGGATGAGGAAATGAGAGCACTTGAAAAAAATGGTACTTGGGAGATTATTGAAAGGCAAAGAGACAAAAAGCCGGTTGGATGCAGATGGATCTATACTGTAAAGTATAAATCTGATGGCACACTTGATCGGTACAAGGCAAGACTAGTGGCAAAAGGTTATACTCAGACATATGGTATTGATTATGAGGAGACATTTGTCCCAGTGGCAAAAATGAACACTGTTCGAATTTTACTATCTCTTGCTGCTTCATGTGGATGGGAATTGCAACAGTTTGATGTTAAAAATGCATTCTTGCATGAAGACTTAGAGGAAGAAGTGTATATGGAGATTCCACCGGGTGTTGGCATAACAAATGAAGCTAACAAGGTGTGTAAATTGAAGAAAGCCTTATATGGACTAAAGCAGTCCCCTCGGGCATGGTTTGGAAGATTCACAAAGGCAATGGTGTGTTTGGGCTATAAGCAAAGTCAAGGAGACCACACTTTATTTTTTAAACATTCACAGGAAGGAAAATTGACTGTACTTCTTGTTTATGTTGATGATATTATTGTTACAGGAGATGATTTGACTGAGAGACATTTGCTCAAAGAGAAATTATCGGCAGAGTTTGAGATGAAAGATCTTGGACAACTCAAGTATTTCTTGGGAATTGAGGTAGCCTACTCAAGGCAAGGCGTCTTTATCTCTCAAAGGAAGTATGTACTTGATCTTTTGCAAGAAACTGACAAACTTGGATGCAAACCTGCAAGCGTTCCCATTGAACAAAATCACAGGATAAGCTTTGAGGAGGAAAGTGACAAAGTTGACAAGGGTCAATATCAAAGATTAGTGGGAAAATTGATTTACTTGGCACACACTAGACCAGATTTAGCATATGCAGTCAGTGTGGTGAGTCAATTCATGCATGATCCGAGGGTGAGACATTTGCAGGCTGTAGACCGCGTTCTACAATATCTTAAAGCAACTCCAGGGAGAGGACTTTTGTTTAAAAGAGGTGAGAATTTAGCTATGAAGACTTACACTGATGCGGATTATGCCGGCTCAATGAGTGACAGAAGATCTACGTCAGGCTATTGTACTTTTCTGTGTGGTAACCTTGTAGCTTGGAAGAGTAAGAAGTAAAGTGTAGTTGCTCGATCAAGCGCCGAGGCAGAATTTAGAGCTATGGCACTAGGAATTTGTGAACTATTGTGGATGAAACAAGTTCTAGAAGACTTGAAGATACAGTGTGAATTTCCTATGGAATTGTTGTGACAATAAATCGGCTATTAGTATTGCTCATAATCCTGTTCAGCATGACAGGACTAAACACATTGAGATTGACCGACATTTTATCAAAGAGAAGTTGGATAGTGGGCTGATAACTACATCTTACGTTCCTTCTGAGCATTAGCTCGCAGATGTGTTAACAAAAGACTTACCAACAGAAAGATTCAGGCAACTTACTTGCAAGCTGGGAATGATAGATATCCATTCATCAGCTTGAGGGGGAGTGTTGTAAATATTAGATTGTAAATAGTAATTAGTAGTATTAGTAATGAGGTCCATTAGTCAAAACCCATTAGGTTTTCTATTCTCTCTTATTTAAAGCACGTAGTTGCAACATTGTAAGCAGAACTTTTAATTCCATCAGTGAAATATTTTACAACATTATTGTTGCACCATCTTTTATGACCGTAACTTTGCTACTTCCATAAAAGCTTTTCTCCTACGACAGTGACTTTCCTACTTAAGATAAAAGCTTTTCTCCTACGACAGTGACTTTCCTACTTAAGATAAAAGCTTTTCTTTTACGATAGTGACTTTGCTTCTTTACTATGATAGTAACTATTACTGGACAGTTATTTTGTGTATTATAAACCTTTTGACATATTAAAGGATATTAACTTTTCCTGCATTTAGCAAACCACAAGCTTAGGCGTACTTTTATGCACGGTATGACTTACGAGTCATATGACATGTTTTAAATGAAACAGATAACAAAATGCTATAGCAGAGGAAGGATGAGTCAAATATTTAAATAGATTACTATAGGTGTAATCATGAATGGAAGCATCTCTGAATTCTGTTATTTCTTGAATTTAGGTTGCTCTGATCACAATGTTGATGCGCCATTCAAAGAGGATAGTGCTGAAGAAGAAAAATTTGGGACAAACATTTCACATTTAGGCCATTATTCAGCAATAGCTGAGAAGTCTTTGGAAAGATTTGCTTCTGTAATATCGGCTTTCAAATATACACCCGGCTCTCGTGTCAGCGGTCTACGCGCTCCGCTGAAAGACGTTCACAACACTAATAACAACAATAGGTAATGTTTTTCTGCCAGGATGTTGGATTCACTGCCCCTTTGAGTTTCATATCAGTATAATGATCTTTAATCTTGTATATATATAGGCCAACAGCTGCAGACTTCAACAAATATGCGTACGTACCAAAACCATCAAAGACTAGAAGAGTAGCTCCGGATATTTGTAAAACTCGTAATACTAGGTAATTTATTTCTGTCATAAACCAAATATTATTGTTCCTTGGAGTTTCCCATCAATATTATGGTTTATGACTATATTTGTACATGTTTATCATAGGCCAGCAGCTGCGGACTTGAGCCAATTTGCTTATGTGCCAAAACAGAGACTAGAAGAATAGCTTCTGGAAATAAGTTCAAGTTGTTTAAGAACTTTCCAGATTTGATTCGGGTTTATGTCATCCATCAGGCACCATTCTTACCTAGCCAGGACATGTTTTGAGTTAATTCTTGGCAGGTGTAAATTGTATTCTTAATTCAACCACTAATTTACTTGGGATTTGGGAATTAGTTGCATTGATGTATCCTTCATATTATACCCCACACTCACAGGGCATAGTTGGTTGAATTGCGTTGTTCAACAGTGGAAGCTTTGGTTAGGCGTTTGTCTTGAGTAGTTGTTGTATATCACAGACAATTGTATTTGTATGTCACCAACTCACCATGCTTAATATTTTTCATTTATTGATACAAATTGAAAAATAGAAATATTAATTGTCACTGTTTCATAATCTTTCAAGGTTATACTGTGTTCTGATGTATTTTTTTAATCATTTATAAATTAAGCAGCGTGCTACCTATGTACCTAAGATTTATTACTAGCATGCCTCCTTTTGATGCGAACCTATTAAGAAGCAATAACACATTGAAGTGGCTTTGCAATTTATAACTACTGCTCCCTTGACTCTTATTTATTAAAAAAAATTTAAATACTGAGTAAAGAGCTATGTATAGACTGATCCAATACAAGAATTGATTGCATTTAATAAAATTTAAATCTAAAATTTTTAGAAGAACATATTCTCAAGATCTAAATCTCCACCGCTAGGCCAATCAAGTTTAAAGAAAAGAAATTCAAACTTAACACTAGTCCACTAACTAGCAGATGAGGTTTATCTTCGATATCTAAAAAAAAACCCTAGTCTTAAATTGAGTTCACTGAATCAAATATTATTAATTAATTAAGGCAGTAATTGATAATTTTTAGTGTATGTATTGCTACACACATTCACTTTCAGATTTTATTTTTTCTAAGTTTTTGTTGTTGTAATTTTTCAAGTATTTTATTTCTATTAAAAGTCAATTTTTGGATTAAACCATTTATAAAAAGAAATTGATAATTTTTAGTGTATGTATTGCTACACACGTTCACTTTCAGATTTTAATTTTTCTAAGTTTTTGTTGTTGTAATTTTTCAAGTATTTTATTTCTATTAAAAGTCAATTTTTGGATTAAACCATTTATAAAAAGAAATTAAAGTCAATAAATGATAAAAGTTTAACCTTGTAATTTTAAGGTATCAAGTTTAAATTTGGGAGAAGATTCATTGAGAAAGGAACTTCACCATAACTTCCTTTCTATATCTTTTTCTAACAATCCAATCTCTCTCTTCTCTTTTTCCTTTCTTTTGTTGTAATAAATGTTAAAAAAAAAGAAAGACGGAGAAGAAGAAGAGAGAAAAAGAAAAAAAAAATTGTAAACTAAATTGTGAAAATTAGGATTGAATGAAATTCTATGTTTAGATCATACAAAACCATTTATATAGACAACTAAAACACATACTCAAACTACATAAACCTATTCAAGCCCAAAATGTACAAAATATAAAATACAGAATTACAAGTTACATTTTGACACTAATATATGCTGTATTCGACTCTGTCGAATGCATCTGACTCCTGAACTTCGACTAGGTACTTTGACACATTCGAATGCTAGCTTTCAATCAAAACATCTAAGTACAATTTTTAACACACCACCTAATCCATGTTCTCGAGACTTCTCATTCTGATGCTTCTCTTCAACTCGTTGAACTTGACTTTCTTCAGGGGTTTGATGAGTATGTTAGTTAGTTGCACTTTTTTCTTGCAATGCTCAAGTTCAAACTTTTATTTGTTGACTTGATCCCTCAGAAAATGATATCTCCTCTCTATATACTTACTTGGACCATGACACACCGAGTGATTCTCCATGTCGATAGCTGACTTGTTATCGACAAACAACTTCATTTTCCTAGGTTCAATTAACTTGAGTTCTTCAAGCAACATTTCTATTCATGCTGCTTGACATGTTGTATATGATGCAACCATGTACTCAGCTTCACGCGATGACAAAACTACAATGCTTTACTTTCTTGAGCTCTATGAGATCGAAGCGACTTCGATCATGAATATGTAGCCTACAATACTCTTCTTTTCATCTTGATCTCCACTGAAATCTGAATTAAAGTAGCCATATACTTTTGCATCTGTGTTGGTCATTGTCTACCTCGACATTAGCACACCATGATCAATCATACCCTTTGTGTATACTAACAACCTCTTAACTACATTGAGATGACATTCTTGAGGTTTCTCCATGAATATACTTAACAATCCGACACTTTGACAAATGTCTGACCTGGTATTGCAAAGATACCTTAAGGATCCAATGATTTGTTTATACAATGTCTCACTTACAAACTCATCATTTGTCTCCTTCGTCAACTTTGCTCCAGTTTCTAATGTCGTAGCAACTGCATTACAATTGCTCATCTTAAACCTTTTCAAGATATCTTGGGCATACTTTTTTTGGTGTAGGAACACTCTTTCACTTGTTTCTTTGAACTCCATCCCTAAGAAATATGACAAATTTCCTAGGTCGGACATTTCAAACTATTGCATCATCTTGAACTTGACTTTTCTTATCTCGACTTCATTTGCACCTGCAATCAACAAATCATCTACATACAGGCATATGATGACTCGACTGATTCTGTCTGTATCATTGACATACACTTCATGTTTAGAGGCACACTTTGTGAAACCTACTTTGATCAGAAAACCATCTAGTCTTTTATTCCAAGATCTTAGAGCTTACTTCAAACCATATAGAATTTTCCTCAATCTATACACCTTCGAATCCTACCATTTGATTTCAAATCCTAGAGGTTAACTACACTTCGTTGAAATTAATACCCGACTTTTGCAGAAAATCTCTTGCCACTAGTCTTGCCTTATGATTGACAATTTCTCCATCCGACCTTCGTTTCAGCTTGTAAACCCACTTCACATCAATTGACTTCTTGACTGACTTTTCGACAAGCTCCCAGGTCTTGCTCTTCTCAATTGACATGAGTTTTTCTTTCATGGCTGTTAACCAATTCAAATCGTTCATGGCTTGATCTAAATTGATTGGTTATGCTTCAGGCATCATCCTCACTTCTTCTATCAAGTCACCATCTGCATCGACTGCCTAATCTTAAAATCTCTCATATCCAACTAGCCTTGTCAACTCGGTTCTTGTTCTAGTCGATCTTCCATCATTTCTTTTCAGGCGGTTCTTCATATAGATTTGTTGGAACTTCATTTTATTGGTCTTCTTCAAACACATTTGTGACTGTATCTGACTCCTATCGAACTGACCCTTGACTCCAATCCCACCATTTTATTTCGTCCACTAGAACGTCTTGAGTGATCACTACTTTATCATCATTTGGTGAATACAACTTGTATGCATAAGGCGAATGATGACCTATGAGCACCATAGTCTAACTTCGATCATCTAGTTTCTTCCATCAATTATTCAGGTACATGCCTAAAGTACATTGATCCAAAGACTCTAAGATGACTAACATTTGGTTCACATCTGTCCAAGCCTCATAAGGAGTCTTCTCGACCATCTTCTTGGTTGGACATCTATTTAGTATGTATACTGCTGACGAAGCTGCTTCAACCCAAAATCTCTTTGGCATATCTTTAGCTTTCGACATGCTCTTAGTCACGTTCAGTATACTTCGATTTTCCTCTCAGCTATGCCATTATGCTGAGGTGTATATGGTGCAATGACTTGATTCTCTATACCTTCCTCATTGTAAAATCTAGCAAATTCTTGAGAGGTGTATTCACCACTACCACCAGTTCTCAATTTCTTCAACTTGCATTCCTTTGCTTTTTGACATGCAATTTGAGCTTCTTGAACTTTGTGAATACCTTACTCTTCGTTTCAGTAAGATGAATCCATATATATATATATATATATATATATATATATATATATATATATATATATATATATATATATATATATATATATATATATATATATATATATATATATATATATATATATATATATATATATATATATATATATATATATATATATATATATATATATATATATATATATATATATATATATATATATATATATATATATATATATATATATATGAATTCATCTATAAAAGTTAGAAAGTAATAGTTACCTCTATTCGACGTCACCTCAAATGGTCCACACACATCAGAGTGAACTAACTCTATCTTTTCCTTCGACCTCATTGGCAAGTCATGCTTTAATGCTTTTCGAGCCTGCTTTGTTTTGTAACATTTCTCACACAGCTGACTTGGTTCTTTCACCTGAAGTAATCCATACACCATATTCTTCTGGTTGAGCATACCTAAACTTCTGAAGTTTAGATGTCCATACCTACGATGCCACAACCAACTCTTGTCTTCTTCTAGAGTAAAATCAATACACTTTTGATCAATTAGGTTGATCTCTACTTTGAAGGTCCAGTTGTCTGCCAAGGGTGCCTTCAGATTCAACCTGCCATCACGATGATACACCTTCATATGATTCTTTTCTATCTTCATGTTGTACCATTTTGCAAGTAATTGAGCTACACTTATCAAGTTACTTGTCATCATTGGTACACACAGTACATTTATGATGCTGGCTTTTCGACCATCCTTCCTGACAATAGAAATATCTTCTTTTCCACCCGATGTGATGTATTTGCCATCTGCAAACTTTATCACTTTCTCGACTGATTCATCTAGTTCGGTGAACCGGATTTTATTGCCAATCATGTGGTTACTGCATAATGAATCAAAGTACCACATGTTGGTTTGCTCAGTGTTGGACTGAGTGTTGGCCATGAGTAGCACATCATCAAAATCACTATCTTCAGCATGTGCATACTGCACTACATCACTATCTTTCGCTCGTGCTTCCTTATTTCTTTGATAGTCTCGAGCATAATGACCAAATCCTTGACAACTGTAACACTGCACCTCCTTCATGTCAACTTTCTTCCTAGAATACTTGTTGCTCATGCCTTTCTTGATCGAATATGGGT